ACAAAAGGACAGCAAAATAGGCCCACAGGTTTCACTGAGAAAAACCCTTAGTATCAAAATTTTCAAGCTGATCATGTAATTTTGAGGACCTGACTCAGATTCTGTTCTGTCTGTGGGGTGGATGATATTTGCCCTTCACAACCATATTCCAAGAACTGACTAACACCTATAATTGGGCTTAGGGATGAAAAATAAAAGAGCTATGGGTCCTTCGGTAGAAACCAGCAAAACTCACCTTTGCTTTATTCGCAAAGTCAAAATTAAAAAAATGAAGGGTTCAAGTGACATTTTCATAGGTTAACTATTTAAACCCTGCAGAAGTGAAATCTCAACCCAGCTGGAGTTGGTGGTAAAATTCCCACTGGCTTGATGGAGGCCAAATTCAGATCAACTCCTGTGTTTAAGATTGAAACAAAGAGATACTAACACAAATAGAATAAATACACTTGCAAATTTACTTCCCCTCACAAACTATCTGCTGAGACGTTATCTCTCTACCAGTTGTTAAATTTACCACTATGCAAAAAAGGTACACTGCGTGTAAAACCTGAGACTACATAACCTGGTACTTGCGTGCTCCAAGCGAAACAGAGAATACCCTTTCCTTCACCTTTCAGTGTTTAGTACACTGTCGAGCGAACGATTCCTAATTTCATAAAAAACAATAATAACTGTCCCCAACACCAAGCTACAGTGATTTTTTCCTCTTGCCCTCTTCTATTTCTTAAGATATTGGAAAGAAATATTAAGATAATACAGCATGCAAATCAAATTCTACAAAAGCCCAGCCAAAAGGCTGCTTTAAAAAGCAGCGGTATGCAAAGGCGAGGACAACTCTGTCCTCTCAGCCTCCCCCAGTCTCACCCTGAAAATCTAAACCAAACCCAAATTCTTTTCTTGGCCGTGACTTAAAGGGAAGAGCTATTTTCTGTTTTGTCAACCAAAGACAAAAGTTTCCATCTTAGTAATTTCATTGTTTCTTCTCTCCAAACACATGCAGGTTAACTATCATACAACACATCTCATTTAATCACATAAAAAAGTCAAGTGATTGGTTTCAACTGCGAGATACTGACTTGGGTGTCCTAAATCTGTTTTCAGTCCAGTATCCAACTTTCTGCTCAATGCAACACAAAACATTTACGTCTTTAAAAAAATTTGTATTTTTAGTATTGCCAAAACACACATGCACTTTTACTTTCTTGGGAGAAAAATGTGTCTCTTGATTTGTTTCCAATCCGTGTGTTCTTGCCAGCAACTAAAATGCTTGAAGAACCAAAATGAATAATCATTAAGAGCATCAGCAATTAAAGCTGCAAATTTTAATCAATACATCTATTAATACAAAGATATATTTATCTTGGCCAGGAAAAATGTGCACATTTTCAAAATCCTAAGCATACCTGGCCTATTAAATTATTTGTTTCACAGATTCAAGGAAATCCAATGTCTATGGCAAATATATTATCAAACATGCTTTAGTCTTTTTTCACTTCCAGTAATTTTTGTGGGGCTATTTTTTATATTCTTTTCCCCACTGCTGGTTACTAAATCCATTCCTTAACTTTCAATTTTCTTTTGTTTGTGTCATCAGGCTGTGAAACCGGAGGTCACTGCCAAATACAAAGCACGGCAGTGTGAGATAGGCTCAAAATGTGAGTCATCGTGTATTTGGAGATTTTTTTATTTCCAGCTATCAGCAGAGCACATCTCCACTCCTGTGTTCAAGTTCTTATACACCAGACAACTCAAAATTTGCTAAAAGGTCTTCAGGTAGAGTTATCAAGGTCAACAGACCCCAGAGACCTCACTGGAGCCCATTGTCATGCAAACGCTATTGAAGGCACCGTGCCCCTGTGCGGCCACGGGAGGCCAGGATGTATTTAAGTACCGTGGCTATTTCATCAGTGAATAAAGAAGGAATATAGGAAATTATCCACGAGGCGGTAACAGATTAGCCACACAGAGTACACTAGATTAATTTTCCACATCTGTTTGCAGCGGTGGGGTTGATGTGACAAAGCCTGCCAGCCAGCATTAACGTGCTGAGCCCGAGATGGAGGGAGCTCTTCCAGCCCCGCGTGGGACCGCAGCAGCCTCCCCTCCCGGGGCATCTTGTTAGGAGAAGCAGCACCCCGGGTGAACGGCATCCCTCCCCCCCCCCACCCCGTTTTATGCAAACACAGCTCCCCAGCACTCGTGTTAGGGAGCTTTCTGCCAGCGCCCTCGCCAAGCACAGCAGAGAGAAGCAATGCCTATGGTATTCTTGTTATACGCGAAGTCTGTTTGTCGGAAAAAAAAAAAAAAAATAAAAAAAAGGTAACTGCTAGCCGCCGTGGCTATCGAACGAGACATCTATATTTATAAACTAACTGCAAAGATGACTCGGTTCATTATTTAAGCAAACTTTTGAAAAACGGGTGTGTTTCCACCACCCTCGACATTTATTCTATGTACTGTCATCAGCAGGTATCGCCTCATCAGCACGGCGCCGTCCGACTTCAGGGGGTGTGGGTGCTTGTGTGGGTGCAGTTTTACTCAAAAATTCTGCCCCCAGTGCCACCATCTCCTTTCGGCAACAGCTTTTCATTGCAGGGATGCACTCAGGGTCTGTTACATTCAAGAGGACTTCCAGTATGTTTAAGCAAAAGCACCAGGAGTGAGGAGTGAAAAAAAAAAAAAAAAAAGACTGGGCAGTCATTTGAATCAGTGAGTGACAGGCTGGGCCAGCTCTCTGTATACATTAATAAATTAGAATTTTAATTGTGTCTCTGACTGCAGGAGCTGCTCCAGTACTTTAATACGTACCAACAATTGGCTATGTTATGGAATCCGCGATGTGGCCTTCACTGTTGACCTCTGCAACACAATTCCCAGTCTGACTACGGAAACTGTTTGGTTTGATCCTTTCAACTTATTTGAATCCTGACAAATAAGCTCACAGCTGAAAGGTCAACACAGTCATATTTCATCCTCTGGAGCTATTCTTAAGACATCTGCACAACAAAGCACTTCTTTTAGTACCTGACACTGGACCTAGCCAGCACAATCTCTCATTAAAAATGTCCCCAGTGGAAGAGTCTATTAAAAGGCATATGGATCAGCTGTGGATTTACCAAATAAAATATTTTTGAAAGCATTAATGTAACACTTTGGATTATGGCGCTCTATGCTGCCAATAAAATGTATATTTGCCCAATGACAAAATGCTTCATACTTTCCAAAAGAATAATAGCTCGGCTATAAAGTGTGAGGTGTTGTCCAGCAGCCTGAGCACGGGGGTGGGAGCCAGGAACTCATGAATCTTAATCCTACCTCTAAACCCAATTCCCTCTGTGGTCCTAAGCAAGTCACTTAACCTGCTTCCCTCAGTTTCCCAGTCCAGAACTGGGATAATGCTACTTACTTATCAGACTTTCCTTCTGGGGATGTTTTGGAGATTAGTATTTGCAAAATGCTTTGAAGATGAAATCACTACACAAAAGCTAGAAGTTGTCTGCGCTGGGCCAAGGGCTGCAGTTAATAGCTATTCCTCGCTCAGGCAAAACTCCCCTTGAAGTCCCCATCAGCTTTATTTGGGTAAGAACTGCAGGATCGGGTCCTCTCACTTTACTGTCAAGGCCTTTAGTGATGTTGGCTTTACCTTCCATATTCTACTACATATTTAAAGAGTCTAGGATCCGTATTTTTGAAGGAAAATAATCTGAAGCACATATAAAAGGCACAAGAAGCAGCAATGCTGTCAGGGAACTCATGGTGATAGTATATCAAACTAAAAAAAAAATTAGAAAGAGCAAAACAGACATGAGTTTGACAACGTGCTATGACAACAAGTGAAAAAAAAAAAAAAAAAAAAAAAAAACCAACCCGGAAAGAATTTGGGGCTACAGAGGCTGAAGCATCAGATATAGAAGAGCGAGATAAGATAAATGTCCCAGCTACAGGGCTTTGTGTGACTGCAGCTGAACTGCTGTATTCAGTAACTTATTATCAAAAATACAGTGACACACTGCAATTGCTAAGAAAGCAATAATAAAAGGAATACCAGCTGCAAACCAGCAAAGTGGTCAAGGGTCTAGAAGTGCCGGTTTATGAAATACATAAAGAACTAGATACATATAATTTGCCAAAACTGGCAAGTACGTGTTAGTATCTCAGATGTTTGAGGAGTGTGAACACGAGGCAAGGCAAGGGACTGACTCAGTATTTATACAAGCAGTATTACTTGGAGCAAGAGGATGGAATTAAAGTGGAAAGTTCCTCAGCATGTGCTTTGTTATGGAAAACCATCTGAAGGAAAATAATAGCGGTCCCACCATCACTTGGGATTTCTAACACTAGAATAGCAAAAAAAAAAAAAAAAAAAAAAAAAAAGGAAAATGTGATACATGACCTAATAGGTCTTTCTTGTCTTTAACTCCTGTGATTTATCCCGCAAGACTAGCAGAATGTACTCCAAAGCCGCATATGTGTGCATACATCTTCTGTTTGGGAGTGCTGTATTGGTTTTAGCTTTCTGAATTCATAACAGCACAAAGCCTGATAATATTTAGATTTTATTTCTGAAGATGTCCATAAATCAGCAGACAATAAAAGGGGAAAAAACCCACCGATGATATGATATCCTAGTATTTCCCAATATCCTTGACACAGCAAATCAACGGTTTGAGTGAACACAGACTACAAACGGAACAGCAATCAAACAGAAATGTTAATGCAAATCTCCTATGCACACTGACACAGTAACAAAAGCTATTACATTTTGTCATGATCCAACCCTACCAGATGCTAATAAAAGTACATGCTCATGCTTTGTAAATATGCCATGGGTGGGATTTTCAAGAGCACCTACCACCGGTCCTCACTCCACTTACATCAGCCACAGCTGCTCTGTGGACTTCACTAGGAGGAAGGTCCCATCCCAACGTTCACAAGTAAGACATATTTACTCAAGTTTTACAAGCCCCAGTCCCTCATGGAGGCGCACAGGCTTCCCTTACCTGAAGGGCTGGCTGTTTGTCATTCCTCTTCGGAGACTTTAATCCACTAACTTGCTGCTGCTGCTGCTGCTGCTGTTGCTGCTGCTGCTGCTGTTGCAGTAGAAGCTGCCGTGCCACCTGGAGAGCCTGCGAGGAAAGAGATTTGAAAATTTGAGTGTACAGCAGACAGGGCGTGGGGAGCTACACGCACTGCACAGGGTCATGGGGTAGCACTCCACTCCCGAAGCACCTCTGCCTGAGAAAAGCAGAGGCTTCCACACAAAAAAAAAACTCAGCACTTCCATGCAATGGGACGATATCCCACTGCTGGATTTCCCACTTTGACTGCAGAGAAAAACAGCAGCAGCTGATGTTCAGGTCCTGGGTGGGAACCTCAAGTAACTGCAGGAATCTCGGTGGTGAGCACTGTACAGTTATTTTTATCCCCTGCCTAGAGTGGCTCACGGCCCTCCTTGCTACCAGGCAGGCTCATGGACTAATGGCTTTCATGCTCCTCTTCTCCAGTGGGTCAGCTCAGGTTTATGGAAGAGGGCAGTTGTACATCACTGTCTGCTCTCCTGAACGCCAGATAAAGTCAGGGAAGCTTCTGGAAGGCTCCGGAGGGAGGAAGAGAGCCAGCAGCAAGTACTGTGCTGAAGGCTGAGGAAGCTACGAGGAGCTGGAGCGAATGCCATGAGAAGCAGGGACAGCATCTCACCCCACCAAAATCACCAAGAGCTCGTGACAGAGCAGCAGTGGGGACATGGATGGGAGGGGGCAGAGCAGTGAAGGGACAGTGCAACCTTACGGGATGGATGGGCAAGGGACACAATCCCAAAAGTGGGAGCAGAGCATCACGTGGTGGGGGATTACTGCAGAATTTTGTGCAGAGGGAGGGGAAAAACGTCCTTGGACACTGGAGCCGGCCACTCTTCAAGGCCGGATTTCTCCATCAGATGAGGGAAAGGAAGCAAGAGGAGATGAAACATGGGGGTAAGAAGGACAAGGAGCTCCCTCCTGGCTCCCCAGCCGGGGGACCACAAGGATGATCCCTGCAAGACAGGCTGTGGCACAGCTGAGGCTCCGCCGGCGAGACCCGAGCCCGCTGCTCCCGGAGGATTCACCAGCACCGGACTCGGGCCTTCTTGGTCTCCTTGGAGACGTTCAGTACATGTGTAGGTGGAAAAGTGGGAAGGCTGAAGACTTCATTAATGTAAAACAAGAAAAATAGTCCCTTTGCAAGATGCCTACACGGAAGGAGGGAAGAAACCTTCCCCACTCCTACTGTGTATGCTCTCTGAATGATTTAATTAATACCTATTTAATTAAAGAGTCAGATACGCTTCGGGTTTCACTTGCTTCTCCAAGTTGCAAAGTGTTTCATCTCAGCGCAGAACCGCTGGGAAAGGTTTGACATCAAGGACTGCAAACTTGGATCCGCCACCCCCGGTAAAAACTTGTTATTTTATGGCCTAGGCCCATCTTTTTACTTTTGAAGGGACATTCAGCAGCCCGGGGGGCTGAAGAACCACCACCGGCCAGCACGCCAGGGCAAGTGGAGAGGAGAGACCTTACACCATGCTCTGGCAACCAGCCCTCCTTTCAAATTTAATAACAAGTCTCCACTGGATCAGAAAAACTCTTTAAGGGTGGATGCGATTTCCAACGGAGCTTGGTGAGATGGAGGTAAAATCAGGTTTTGCATTTCAAGCTGGTGGGAGCTCAGCGCACCTGTAGCATCTCTAAAACCATCCATGTCCCTGCGAGGGGTGCGAGGAGCTGCCGGGCACGGGCACACACCAGGGTGGGCATGAATCTGTGCTCCCACGCACACAGCCACCCCCCGCCATCCGTTCAGCGTCAGGAACCAGGAGACCCTACAGCCTACCAATTCATACAGTGCAACAAAGGAAACCTTTATGCAGAAAGTGCTAAGTATGGTTAAAAAAATGTTATTCTTATTGAATTAGCTTATTTAGCTGTTAAAGCATCTTCAAGGGTGGGCAGAGGCATCAGAAATAAAACCTACAAGACTTAAGGGGATGGGCAACAAATACCTACTTAACAGGGGTGTTGTATGGCTTATTTAATTAATGAATACTTGTAAAGCACTCTGAGTTGCTCAGACAAGAAGCGCTATACAGTACAAGCGCAACATATTATTATATATTATTAAGACTGGCTCTGCAGAAGAATAATTCCAGGTAAATGTGCAATCAAATGATCATTTTAGTTCCCAGTAATTAGATTCAATAGGCCAAAAAAACACAGAAGCCTTTCTTTAATCATACACTAAACAATCAGAACATCCCTAACCTTTCAAGCTACAGCCTTTTTGAATAAAACATCATCAACTTATAGATATTATTCCAAAAAGAACCAGTCACCATATGTGTTGTCTCTTTGAAATACAGTTGCTATAGCAGACCCTGCATGCATTTCATGTGATATGATCATATTCTATCCGTTCTGGCAGCTGAGAGGTTGCACAACTAAAATTGGCTGCCAGAAATTTTTGAAGATTCCCAGAACAAGTAGCCGTGCAAGAAATGCCTGCTTTCTACTCGAGCTGGCCACGAAGCTCCGCGCAGCTCGGTGAAGCGGCCGCTGCCGCCACGAGCCCTCACCACGGCTGACCCCACGCTGATGAAGATCTCTGCCCTCGGGGACAGGCTCGCAGTGGCAAGGCTCTGATGGAGCTCTGTCCTTGCTGCAGTCCCCCTGCACAGCACCCACACCCCCACCCCTGTGCAGGCTCTCCACTCGAGGTGACCCCTACGCCACCCTGCTCCATGCCCAGGTCTCCTGGAGCCCAGACCTGGTGGGACCAGTGATGATGAGAGGGAGGGACCAGCACGCAGGGCAGAGCAAGGAGGGGAAGGAAAGGATTAAAAAGAATGAGAGTAACGAATGAGTTGGCTGGAGGGAGCATCATGGATACAGGGAGCTGGGATGGACAGGAACAGCACAGGGAGAAACACGGAGGGGCAGGCGTGGGCGAGATGGCGGCAAATCGACAGCTCAGGGGATCGCAGCTTAAAATGGCATCTCCCATCTCTCTTGTCTCAAGATTTCGCTCTTCCGTTTATGAATAACTGACAGCAATAAAAGCTAGGCATCAGATGAGCTTGGGTTTAAAATGTGGAAGGTTGTTTATAGCTCAGATCTGGTTCTTTCTGAACATCTGCATCAAGTAGCTACTGTGTCCTTGGTGGTACGGTGAACCCAGGGATCCCAAATCCCTCTGCCTTCCTGCATTTCCCCGCTCAGACTTTCCTCACTCCCAAACCAAGCACCACCCCTGCCATTTCGAAGTCTCATCGAAGATGAGTGTGTAGAAGAAAGGAAGGTGGCTAGCTCAGTCTGGGAAGCACCAGCCCTCTTTCCTCTTATATGCAAAGTATTTCAAGCACATTTGGAATGCCTTCGTGGAATTAATTTGCTGATGCCAGTTCAAGCCCAGTGGGCACCCGCCCTCATTACGCTGGCACATGCCATTTAATCCAAGCCAGCAAGTGCCGCACTTCTACCCCTTTCTCTGGTTCCACGAAGCACCCGCTCCTGCGTGGAGCCCATCGCTGGATGCCAGCGTGGGAGCCCTGCTGAGGCTGCTGATGCTGCACAGTGCTCAAGCGAGGATAGACAGGGAAATTAATTTGAGAGTGAAGTCAGTCCCACAACCTTCATCAGCACGGAGATTCGCAAGCAGGCCTGTACATTAATAAAGCTTCCTGTGGGAGTAGATGTTGCCTTTGATTTGCATGTGAATTCAATGCTAGTGAGAAGTGCCAGACTGTCAGACATGGAGACCAAAGTCTCTTATCTTTCCAAAAGCTTCTGTAGCAGTTTCCCCACATTTCCTTAATCATCTGCCTTGTCCTCAACTTACTGAACAGGCAGTAGAGAGTAAAGCTGGACTCGGTTCAACTCGTGCTACTGCCAAGTCCTGAAACAAGGGTGCCAGGACTGTTTACTGCTAGCCAACAGCTCTGCTAACGTGGCCCTCTCCTCACGAGCAGGTGCTCTGACATCTCCAAGCTCTTTTCACACATTCCTCCCCACTGCCATAGTTACATCCTAAATCTCCACCACGTGCTTGCACTTCTGCAAGTGAACAATTGCTGGGGGCTGCGGTAAACCAGCTCATGTTTGTGCATCCAGGCAACTGTGTGCTCCTTCGCAGGACTGGCAGGTAGAGATGCCAAAAGCCCCCAAAACCACAGAGGTGATTCAGGTATTTGAGCCTGTGATTACCAACAGCCACGTTATGTGCCACATATCTGCACTGCTCAAAGAGCCTGCAAGCCTGGACACGGCTGCTTGGGACAACCAGACCCGGGCGCCAATCCTGGCCTCCAGCAGCTAATCACCCAGCATCGGCAATCCTCCTCCTCTCTGCACCAAAATGCAAATAGGAAATATTCCCACTTACTGAAGGAAGAGCAAGAAAAGCCTCCCCTAGCAAGTGCATCCTCTGAGTGCTATGGTTTTTGGTCACTATCAACAGGGATTTGGAAGGATGACATCAGTAAAAGGCTCACTACCAACCGAGTCATCTTGATTCTGCTCGGTGCTATGCCTAAATGCAAGATACAGTAAACGAACTCCTGAGCTATTTTCTTATCCATTAGGAAATCACCCAGAGATAAGGAGATTTTCTGACGTAAAACAGAGACCAGTAAAAAGGCAACTGAAATGCTGTACTTTAGAGACATTGCACAAATTTGGGGTGATATTTGGGACCCAGCATTAGGTGACACCTAACCCAGGAAAAATTTTAACAGTACATTCACTGTGAGATGAATCAAGCCTGTTTCATTCAAAGATGCCACAGAATAAGTGGGAAGCCCCATCAAAAATCCCTCTCCCTGTGCCTGGGGAAGTGGCAACCATTTAACATTTCCCAACTAGTTAAGCACTGGGGGGGGGGGGGGGGGAAGTACACATTTGAGATGACCAAGACAATTTTATTGCAAGATAGACAGAACGTGACTTGTTTGCCCAGCTGTTGTTTGCCCAGAACATCCAGCACTGTTACCACCCAAATTCCTGTTGTAATCCGACATTTTCACGCAAGCGACTCAATCTTTCAGTTTCATCATCCTCTTTGGGCAAGTTCTGCTCAAAGGGTAAAACCGTAGCCCTGC